ATGTTTTGTCCAATTCCTTACCCTAATACTTATCACAAAATGAATGTTGCTAATAAATCCAATGTATTGAGTTTATTATCACTTATTTGGGATCTGCTGAGCTTGGAATTAGAATGGATGTTGGTTCTGCCACAGAAGAGCTTTTCAATACTTCTTTCATTTTGCCTCTCCTCCCTCCCTTTACTTCATCTCTAAAGAGTCATTTGAATTAAATTCATCAGAGGCAAGATTTTGGAACAAAACTACTTCAGTGGAAATGTGGATAAAACCAAGATTTGTGTTTCAATGAGAAAACGCTAGAATTTCCCCCTGGATTTTTGTTTTCTCTATTTCATGAATCTGCCTCTGCTTGAACAATGAAAAGAGGCTTGGCAATGTGAACCGGCAGTGGATTTCTCTGAGGTATTTGATTGCACTGTCACTGCAGTGAGTACATGAGTATAGTTTCTGAGTCAAGCTTTGATAGGAGCTGATTTCTGCAGTAGCTAAATGTTGGCCCAGCTACCACCTAACTTGCATGAACTCTAGTATCTGTCAAACACAATTTCTACTTTTTTGCTGTGTCTTACTTTTCAGTTTTGTAAATCTTTTGTTTTCCTTTTTTTTCTTAAATTAAACTAAGATGCATTTTTAGTAATTGGAATACATTTTTTTCATAGAACTTTTGGGATATTTCAGCATCTGATTTTTGTCTGTTTACATTGTTATGAGTCTGGCAGGATAACATGAAGATAAAGCAGAGATCCATTTGGTTTGTTAATAAATTTTGGAATATTGATACCGGATTGTAATAGCTTGACAGCTTTTGTATAAAATCTACATTTTGAAATTACAGCCATTTTGCTAACCTTGAACTCGTGAAGATATATTAAAAAAAGACTGATTAGGATTGCATGGCTGATGGGGATCTAGAGGTATCGGAGTAGCTTTTGCGCAGTGTTCACAGGCAGCCACAAGGTTTTAATCATATTGCTTTGATTGCACTTCATAGTTATGTCATTTGTTAGTACTTGAGGCAGCTTACGCAGCTGTAACTCAGGTATCCTTGTATGGTGGTCTGTCTTGTGATGCAGATGTACCTGCTGTCAGCATCGTACATGGGCTTCCAGAGGTTGCTGAGGCACAGCGAGCCTGCAGTTGGGGGTAGCAGGAGGGCACCAGCACTGAGATTCTTCACCGGATCTCATCTGTAGCTTTTGATTTTTGAGATCTCTTTCTATCCTTTTGCTCAGTGACACAGAAGCCTCCTCTGGCAAATAAAGTAAATGAGAAAATGAAAGAGAAACTGCCTAAAGATTTATTTACGGTATGAAAATCCTGTGTGGTGATTGGCTGCATAAGCCTGAGCGACAAGCTGGAGAGGAGAAAAAAGCAAACCTGCAGCTGTTTGGGATTAATGAACGCGTAACACAAACAGCGTCTTCATGAAAACAAATGAGCTTTAAAAAAAGCATTGAATGCAAAATTCATTTGTGTTAATAAAATGAAGAAGCAGGGTAAGATTTGTGTTTCCTAAGAGCATAAAAAAGCATTCGTCCTAAAAAGAATATATGTGGTGATGTGTGTTTAGTCAGGATTATTAGCTGGCACTAAGCTGTGCTATCAGTTGAAGCACAAGCTTTTCATCTCTGGAAGCTTGAATTATTCTTAATATTTTTTGAAATCTAAATTGGGTCATAAATGTTTTGGCAATTTCAGATTAGCAGCATAGGGGGTGGAGGGCATTATAAAACATGCCATGTGATAGAACAGTTGAGTGCACTGATTGCTAGGCTGCACAAGTAGATAGAGCCAAGTGGGAGGGCGCCTTCACATCAGGAATGAGGGGTGCTGGCTCTGCGGTAAGAGTAAAATCCTGCACAGCGCCTGCCCGTGCCATGCAGGACTAGCTGATTATCTCGGTCCTTCATGGAGCCCTGTATTCCCTCAGCGGATATTTTGAAACCATCAGCTAGTCAAGGATCAGCCCAGTTCGCTAACAAAGGCTAGACAGTCTAACAGAACTGGAAAATATCTCCTAAATAACTCCTGGGAAGGTCTAGAAAAGGTAAATGTCCTTGATGAAGGCCACCCTGCTTAAGAGAAGGGAGACTGTGGGAGAAAAACACAGATTGAGCATGAGAGAAAACGACCAGGAGAAGAATGAAAGGATTGTTCAGTGCCTGCATTTGTAGCTCAGGAGCACATTACATCAGAGTATTGAGATACAAAGGGAAAAAAATAATACACACCCAAAACAGACACGATGCAAGAAACCAGGCTATTTAGCTTGCACATTTAATTAGCACATACTCTATCTCAGGAGATGAGGTGGACTAAATAAGCAAATAAAAAGCCACAGAAAAATAACTAACCCACCCCCCCAAAAAAACCCAAAACATAAAAGCAATGATCTTCTTTAATGCTAGTCTGTTTTCTCTCAAACATCATCCAATGTTTTTGCATTATAACTTGTAGAAAAATACCAACAAGCACAGTCATGGTGAACAATGTTTTTAAGACTTCTCTTGGTATTAAGTACACCTCATTAAGTTAACTTGCATTCTTCTGTCGTCCTTGTAGCAGCTGAAACAAATGATTTCATGGAAATGTAACAATAAGGCCATTTTGTATACATGTATTATCATGCAATCTTTTATTGCCCATTCACATTCAGATTTTTTTCAGTGGATACTTTCCCGTTTAAACCACTGTTTACTTCTTCTAGACAAAGAAATACTCATTTCTTCTTACTTTTTCCCTCTGTACTTTTGTAGAGTGTGCATGCTTTGTAAGCATTTGTCTTCAAAACTTTTCGAAGTTTTGAGGGCATGCTATGATCATTCCTAGGCAGATGATGAAATGAAGATCAGAGTGGCTGTATTTTAAAGTTTTTGCTCATTTTGGATACTCACTTTGAAAAAAGAAATTTTGTCTGTCTTTTAATGAATATTTAACATTCTGTTCCCCTGTACACATGGCAACAAGAGTGACTGATGTGAGCATGTGACATTTTTAACCCTAGAGCTTTTACAGGTACTGCACAACAGGTATGGATTCACAGCCAAATTATGTAGATAAACAGTGTTCAGACATGCACTTCCACTTGGTGTTTTTCAAGATTTTGGACCCCTTGATCCAGTGCTGTTTCTGAAGGGATGTTGCCTCATAGCTTGTATGGGGCTTGTGGAATTTGGCCTGTTTCGTTTGCTTCTGTCCAAATTTTTTTAGCTCTGTTCTCTGTGAAAACCTATATAATTATTTATTGCATGTTGTTGCCTCTCACTTTTTCCTAAACTACCTGCCTGCTCTTGCCTACTTTTATTATATCCGTACCCCTCTGTTCCTGCTTGTCCCTATATTCTGGTGTTCCAGATGCACAGCTTTTTCACTCACTCTATTGAAAAGCAGGAAGAGACAGGTGATTGTAATGAGCCAGCTTTGTACATTATCAAGCTTTTTTCCACAGCCCAGATAAAGTCTTTGCAGGGAAAGAACCACGCAGTTTCTGCAGCAGTGAGTGATGGAGAATCCTCACTGCAGGATGACCTGGAACAGTGACCATGCCCCAGGCTAGAACTGTTAGACCTACATCAGTACCACCGAGTATTCAGAGAACACAGCTGCTAAATTTCCACTGATCTCTTCTGAACAGTGGTGAAATGTGATTTTTTTGAAAAGCAAAAGTACTTCGTTAAATCTGGGAGAGTTTCCACAGGGTTGGATTAGAAATGTTAGAATAGGAACATCCAACATGTTGAACTCTTGAGCAGTTCCAGTGTGGCTCTGCTACCAGGACAGCTGGGTATACCTGGCAGGTGCAGACGGTTTGGTCAGTCCAGATCTGTAGCTGTGGAAGCAGTGATGCCGTAGTGATTGCTTAAGGCTGATGTTGCCAGATGATGTGGGATCCAAGCTGTAAACCCCACCCTGTTTAGCCCTGGCTGTCATAGAATGGGGGGATCGCTGGTGAGTTTTTGTCACGTCCAACCCAAGCACTGTTGGTGGGATTTCCATTTCCCTCATGTCTCAGGTGTGTAATACTTATTGCATGGCTCTGAGCCACAGGAAGATCTAGGGCTACCGCTCAAGAGGATAGAAAGGTTGGTCAGCCTGGTGCTGAGCCAACTGCTGAAATAGGCTGAAATGGTTTTAAGACTGAGCATACGATAGGTGACTTTCCCATAATTGTGTTTTGGAAAACACCTGAATTGGTTCAGCTACAGCTTTCAGAGAAGAAAAATGTGGAAAATCTCAACTGGAAGCGTTCTCTTTAGCAAACACAAAAATAAGTAAACATGGAGCTTACCATCCAGGACTTAAGGAACAATTTTAACCTTCTCTAAAATGGTTGTGGCTTCTGTTACTATTATTATTCATTACCGAAATAGCTGTACTATTTTTTTCATTGTTTAGACTCACTGATATAGTAGTTCACTTACCGCGAGCATTTAGCTGTATGTTGTTTTGCTACACACACTGCATTGTGCTGCTCAAAAATGCTGCAGAAAAAGGTGATGCTTGATATTGGTCAGGTGTATAATACCTTCTTAATTGGACTGTGATGAAATTTAATAATCTCAGAAGTAATTTTGAGCATCAAGCTTTTCTTGAAAGTATGGGAAATAAAGGAGCTTTTTAACCTCCTGGGATATATGATGTTTAATTAAGTTATTGTCTTTCTGGAAAATGAAGTCAGAGAGAAGTAATATCAGATGTGCTCAAAATGCTCACTGGTTTAATAGATCAAATGGTGGAATAGTGTTTTGCTTTAGACACAGACAAGCTCTTGAGCTCTTACAGCATGTTTATTGTTCTTTCCTAGCTGCTCCATGTGATAATGTAATGCAGGGTGATTACTGAAGTTTTTATCTGGCAGATTACCCTGTTAACCTGGCACTCCAGTAAATTGTCGTGTTCTAGCAAAAAGGCAGGACATTATGGCAAAGAGCACTCCAGCACACAGATCTGCTCAGCGCACAAGCACATTGCGGTTTTCATTTTATTTTACTATTTTGTAGGATTGCATTGATGTGGGTTGGTGGGAAGGAGAACTCAATGGCAAACGAGGTGTGTTCCCAGATAACTTTGTCAAGCTTCTTCCTTCTGATTTTGAAAAAGAGGTAAGCAATGTGTTCTTTCATTTTCGCTTTAGAATACAGAATGAAAGTGGAGTTGAAAGGAATTCTCTTTCGGATATGTGATTTTGAAAAAGTTTTACTTCTAACTTAATAACAAAAAAAGGTTAAAGAAAACAAATTTCTGGGTTACAAAGCATCCATGAAGAGAACGTGTGGCACTCAAAGTCATATTATGGAGTTTCTTTGAAGGGTTTGATTGGCCCATCCAGTCAGTCCGCCTCCACTACGTTGCTCTGAAAGCCCTCTGTCCTGTGTCCTAAGTTTGAGAGAGAGAGGAACTGGAGGTCCCAGGGTGGTTTGCTGAGTCAGGCGATACAATACTGACCAGAATTGTTAACTTTTCTCCATTGTTTTTGTGGTGGAATATGAAAAGTTAACATACCACCTGCATGCTGATTGACAGCAGTGAAGCACTTCCAGAACGAAAAGGGTGAAAGACAACAGTGAGCTTTTGGTATTTGAGAGGCACATTTCTTTTCGTCTCTCAGACTTATTAAAAAAGAAGGTATAAAATCTATGCAGAAGCTTTTTCAGCTTCTGTTTATTTGAAAGGGATGGCGTTGTTATTTGCCAAACAATATTTAGAAATCCTGCAGCTTCCTGGAAGAAAGTAATGGATTACTTCCCCCAAAAGTCCATTCCATTTTTAGGAATAGGAACCTTTTCAGTCATCAGTGGGATATTACAAGCTTGCAGTCGGGCTTCTGATGAGTATTTCACAGTGCAGTGTAAGCCTTCTGTGATAAAACCGAGACTTAGTGACACTTGGCTTCAATCTTTGGCAATAAAATTGGATGCCGGAGGCAAAAATTAAATAACTTGGAAAGCTTAATAAAGCAACTATTAAACAACTCACAAAAGCTAACATGATAATTATTGAAAACGAAGGTAGAAGAGCAGCAGAAAGTGTGGGAGATGAAAACGTAATTCCATAGCAGAGTGGATATCCTGGCTATAGGCCTAGTAATAAAAGAAGGTGATTTCCAGAAGAGGCAGAAATCATAAACCTTAAGACATAGTGAGCCTATTATAGAAGAAAAAAATCTTTTATCCATTTTTTTTGTGGTGAAATTTATTCAGTCTTTTTGAACTTATAAATTATATGTCTTTAAGTGTTTTTTTCTTTTGAGTACGATGAATATAACTTGTAGAATAAATTAAATATTCAGACACTTAGAAATTGCAGCTAGGTTTGCTGTAAATGTGGAGAATAGAATTTTATTAATTTTTTTAAATGGCACAGATCTGGCCACATGAGTAAGTAACTGGTAGGACTACAGACTGTCTGTCTTTGCTTGAATCAGTGCTAAAAGGGAAGGAAATGGATACTTTTCCAGTGGTCTTGTCAGGTATTTTCTGATGTGATCCAGAAACCTTGGATTCCATCCCATGGTCTGAAAATATTTGTGGCAGTAGTTCTTCTGCTTGTTGAACAAAAACTTGGGGTCTTTTCCCGTCTCCTTGTTCAGTCCCCAATTTTCCAATCCTGATTCTTTTCCACATGTGGCTATTTGTCCCAGGCCTTTTCTATTCACTGCCTAGTTCCAGTCTCCACCTGTCAGGTGGTCTCAATTACAGGATTTTCCCCTGAGCTCACTACCTGAGTCTAAATCACCATCTGGATTTACTTTCTATCCCTACACCAAATTTCTTTATCCAGCTTGTTTTCCTCTCCCCTCACTCTTTGTCCCTGCTCTGTAGTTTTGTTCTCTTCTTGTCCAACCAATCCTGGCTTCCTTTCTGTTGGCTTCACTTCTAGTCTGTCTCCATCTCCTTCTCAGTTATCTCATCCAGCCACAGACCCTTGTAATTCCTCCTTCCTTCTCCATGTTTCCCTCAGCAGTCTTAAGGCTCCTTCACACTACCTCCTTTCTGATCTTTGTCTGCCTTTTAGAAACGATATATTTCCCTCATCAGCTTCCAGTTAAAGCCATTTTGTCTAATGAACCATAGGATCCTTTCTCCTTTGTGTTTATCTACATTAGTGGTTTAATCAGGAGTGGGATTTGTAGTGAATGTCTCACTTGTCCACCTGCACTTGCTGTGCTTTGGTTTGCCTCGAAGACAGGTCTCAGGGGACACGAACTAGACTCCTTTCAGATGAGAACTAAGCCAAAAGATTTGCTAAAGGAGTGCACCTCATATATTCCAACTGCTGACGTATGGACAGTCAATGGGATCAGGCTCACACCACTCCAGAATAAAACCCCAAATGTGTATATTGTGCTGTTGGATCCTCAGCACCAACTGTACTCTGCAGCCGTTATCAACCAAACCCCCAATTGCTATCACAAGACATTCATTGTCCCTGTCTTCTTTCCTTTCCACATTTTTCTGCACTTTTCTGCATTTCAACCTTGAACCATGTTGCCTAAACTCTTGCAGAAGTGTCTTTGAGAGTATAAGGGACTCACTGTTCATGGACGATGGCCCACAGCAGCCAGGCTAGAGAAGATCATTCTGAGCTCCTGAGTTCTTGGCCACAGCTTTCTCAGGTTGATGGCAGGAGGTGATGTGGTTAGGATAAGGTGGTAGGAGAAACCTGAGGCTCGCAGAATGGCAACTTCAGAGGTTTGAGCTGTTAGGCTTACTCAGTCTGTGCAAAACTGGTATGTTTTTTTCTCCAGAGATGAATACGTTTGCTAGATTTGAGAGAGATGCCCCAGGAAGGGTGAGTGGCAAGGGCTCAGCCTTCACAGAAAACCTGCTCCCTGTCAACATTCAGACTAAGACTTGAGAGTTCTAGGGCAGAGGCTGAACTAATTACTGCAAGTGAGCAAAACAATTGATCTTTCTTGAAAGTAGGTGAGCCATTTGGCAGATACAGGGGTGAAAGAGAAAAAAAAAAAGAGGGGGGGGGGGGGGGGGAGAATCAACTTGAGTTTGCTAGAAACTGTCAACCTAAATGGTTGGTTGAAGTTTGGCAAAGTGATGCATATCTGGAAACATCATCTTATAGATAGTTCCACAAGACAATATACAATGTTGCACAGCCAGCAATGTAGTGACAATGATTGTGATCAATCTGTAGCAAAGAAAATAAGGTCCTTCTCAGAAAAAAGGATGGACATACGAAGGAAAAAATTATTAATTTTTACTTAGGCTTTATTCTCAATAATTTTGATTTGTTTTTTTTAAGAGTAAGAGTTACGGTATGTCATTTGATCTGGCATGGTGCTTCATTTGTTTTTGTATTCATTCCAAGATATATATGGTGAATGCCAGTATGGTGTGTGTGTGTACACACACATCAACACGGAAGGAAAGCCATTCCTCCCCTAGCCTGCAGGTGAAGAGAAATGGTTCTGGCGCTGATTAGGTGGTCATATTTCTCAGCCATACCATTACAGAGCTGTTAGGAAAATGGTCACAACAGAGAAGGTAAAAGTAAAAAGTACAGATTGGTTGGAATAATTTATTTAATTTCACCAAACATCTAAAACTCTGATAACTGTCTTTCACAATTGGAGTTGTAAATGTATCACAGTGAGTGAATAAAATTTAACCTTTGCAGCATTTCCTGTATTCTGCATTTTTGCCGCATTAATGAGTCTGAAAAAACACACTTCAGGTTTTGCCACATCGGGCTGTTTTTTTGTGTTTGTTTTTTCCAAAATGGGTTGGAATATTTACAAGATTAAATTTTAAATAAATAAGTTTCTTCAGTAAACGAAAGGTCATTTATTTCTCTAATCTTAAGGCATGTAAACTGGACTTTTTTTTCCCCTCAGCAGGACATTTCAATTGCAAAAGTAGAAAAATGTCATTTTATTTGTCAATGCTATTTTCTTTCTTCAAATTCATTTTAATGAAGTGATTTCATGGGAAATATGTGACAGATCTGTAGTCTCAAGTCTCGTAATTATTAATGTTAAGCAATGTATGATTAACTCCAACCTTTGTATGAATGAGATTTACAGGCATTTTGAAGCAATCTGTTTTCTTCTGTTATTAAATTTTAGAGACCTAAGAAACCACCACCTCCATCAGCTCCTGTCATCAAACAAGGATCAGGTAAGGTGCAGCTGATTTTGTACAGCACATGTCAGTGAGCACATCTCAGTCTAAATTAACTGCATTCAAATTTATATACAATTCATCTGTATCAAAATTGGTAAGGAGGAGGTGTCTAGACAACAACTAATAAATCAGAATCAAATTGCAAAAAGATGATAACCCTGAAAGACTGTGGTGTGCTTTATAAATGTATTGCAGGCAACCATCTGCACCATTTTAAAATAATGTATTTTGCCCCTTAAACATGTTAATTTGGAGCAAGCATGATACTTCAGTTTTTAAAAGTTCTCCAGTTCCATTCCTTGACTGACGTTGACTGTGTGCATGTCTTTGCAGTATAAACCCAATATGTTGGAGTCTAATAATACCTGCAGGAGGAAACTGTATTTACTTTACACCTATAGATCTGATTTATTCTAGAGATAAAGAGGTTTTTTACGTATCTATAAGGTAGCGTCAGAGAATTTGGCTGTAATACAGTGGCCTCATCGAGTTGCAATCTAAATTTTACAGATCTGCATGAATGCTGTAGCCGGCTGTCTGTCTCTAGGTTCTAAGCCATAGTTAGATTCTTGGTTTTCAATACTTTATAGCCATAAGTATAAAACTTAAAGGTGTTATCCTGAATCTGGTTATGTAGATAATGGTGTTGCAATTGTATTAAGGGGCTGATTACGTTTTCCAAATGGATGAGTGCTAGCAAAGCTAGTTTTGGAGTATGTTAGACTGAATTGTGTATAAATACTAAGAGCTGAAACCACTTTTATTTGTAGTTTGAAAACAAATTGTCAAAAGTGCCTGCATGATTTATTTTTTCCGTGAAACTTGGAAGCAGTTGAAGTATCTATGCACTTGACAGTTCTGACCTCAGAAACCAAATTGCTGTTCCATTCGTGTAAAATCACAAATCACAAGGCATGGGATGCTCTCAGAGTTTTCATTTGTATTGCAGTTGTGGTGGAAACATATCTATGGCTGGAATTCTTTAATCCCTTAGCTCCAGTTGGTTTGTTAAAATTCTGCAGCAGCACTACCGCTTCCCCCACTGCTGGCGCACATTAAAAAAAACAAAACGAACACGTCCAATCTAGCCAGATTATTTTTCTTGTAACTGTGGTCTGTGCCAGCTTTCAGTGCTTTAAAAAGTAAATTTCCCTCTCCTACAGTCGTGATCCACTAATAGAAGAACAAGTTACAGCAGTGTACAGTTCACTGTGAATCAATAGGCTATAATTTAACTAGTTTGAATTTGTCAAGCAGTTTTTGACTACAGAATCATGACTATAAATACTTGGTTTGCTTATTGACACGCATGGTTTGTTCTTCACTCTGTCCTGAGACTCCTAAAAACACAGATTTGATTTTAAGATCAGTGAGTAACACTGTCCAGAGAGAGCAGTATAACTTTGCCATCTAGTGGTGGTTGCATACTGAAGATGTCTTGGTGACAACTGATGTTATAGCCTGACACATTTTGGAAAAGCTCTATAAAACGTTATGTTTCTTTCAATTCATACTCCTAGAATTAGAGAATAATACTTTGAATATGTTTGTACCTGTTTGCATCCAACACATTAGCTGCATCACCGTAGCAGGATAACGTGCCTGTTTTCAGAAGGAAAAATGGGTGCGTAAAGGATGCGGACAATTTGAATAAGGCCATCTATGGCAAAGCCAAGGCTATTGCTGTCCTTTGTTTTCGTACTCAGTCTTTGACAAGTCCTGGCTGATGATGCACAAGAGTTTCTTCTGACATGTATTTAGAAGTGACAATCAGCCTATGTCTATTACCACCCTGACATCCTCTACTTTGTCAAATTATCACTTTACTGAGATAACACTGTATTTTACCACATCCCCATGTCAGGCCTTACTGTTGATAGTAGGTAACAATTTCCAGTAATGTTTCTGCATATTTAACCAGTCACAGTGGGATGAATAAATTGAGAACTATCAGTTGCAGCCTAAATAATTAAGTATCAGTATCTTCTGATGCAGAGCATAAAATCATAGCAGAGAATTAGAATTGGTCTTTATAGTACTAGCGGTACATATATAAAGGAGATGTCTAGTTTGTATTATAGTATAGCTGGAAGTTTGGCTGTTCTTCCAAATTCTCCACAGCAGTGGACTGCCGGGGCCGTCTATGCTGGGCTACTTTACAAAGTAAGGTGAAAACTGGAGAACCAAAGTTAGGAGCACGAGTCCCTTACATAGCCATTGACAAGCAGTAGGCATTTCACTGGTTAGCTGGGATAAGCCATACAACTGTGTCTAGACTGGAGGATGGGAATACTCTGTTGAGTATGTCCCTCTGGGAGCTGGTACAGAGTTCACCAGAGCTTCCTTGCAGGTGACCTTCTCCTGGCAGCTAAGGCAGGATCATGGTGCCTGCCTGGGTACTGATTAATTTGGGGTCACAACCCGAGTAGGGAGTACACCTGAGCCTGGGAGCTCCTAAGTGTTTGTAGGCTCATTGTTTTAGTCATGGCCAGAGAGTGTCGCTCTGTGTGTTTATGATGATTGTTAATCTTACTGTAATTAGGTATATAGACTTGTGTCTCTTTTTTCCTTGATCACACTCGTATGTGCAAAATTATCAATATGTTGACTTGTGCTTTGCATAACTCATGTTTAGAAAGGCTTTAATTGGTTTCTAGCAACAGTTTCTCCTCTCAGGAGAGAGGTATTTTTCATAGAATCATTTAGGTTGGAAAAGACCCTTAAGATCATCAAGTCCAACTGTTAAATGGCAATTCAGTATTATTTATTGACATGATAAGTGATACGGTGTTGCCTGTCCGACAGCACAGTTATATAAAGAAACAATGGCCGGTGATCACCACTGATGAGCAATTTGCACTGATGAGTTCTGATTTCTAGGAACCAGCTGCAGAAAAGAGTTGCAACAACACATTCAGAAAATGTAAATGTACTTGAGGACCGCATATAATAGAATAGATTGAAGCAAAAAATTGCCCTGTGTTGCCTGCCCTGCCTCCTCTGCTTTTCTTGGATGTCATCTACTGTAATTTTTATTGAAATACTGATAGTGTTACCTAAAGCGGTTTTCAACACTGCTAAGTTGAAATGGCATTCGCATCTAGTAGTTAGCCAATGCAGCGAAGCCAATATCCCATAAAGCATTTCTTATAATATGGGGGCTAGAAGATTGCATCTTGCATGTGCCAGGAAATTCTTGCAAAATCTTCCCGTTGCTGGTGCCACAAGTTCCCATATTCCTTACAGCAACAGAAGTCAGTATGTCAGGGTCTCTAGTACAGAGGCAGAAGGCGGCAGAGGCTTACACCTGCAGGCCAAAAGCTGTCAATTAAAATAGTCATGCAGAATACTGTCAGAATACTGTCAGTACTACTACTCTCATCCTTCTAATATGCGGAAGTGAACAGCTAGTACTAGAGGTGAAGAAGAGGGGGGGTTTAACTTAATGTAAAATAAGCCCTGTATATTCATCTATATTAAGTATTCTCTTGGCAGAAATGCCCAATTAATTGATTTATTCCTAATGATTCTCTGCACTGTTGAATTGCTCCTCAGTTAAGTATGTCTACAATGGTAAAGGATCTGTCCACATTTAAAAATCTGTAGTTACTGAATTTATTTTTTTTCACAGAATGGTCTGAAAGTGCCTATTCTTTCGAGGTGCACGCTTTGGAAACTGTAAACTTCACTGTGAAAACATAAACATCCAATTGTTTTTTTGTCATTGTGGTGTCAGCAAATACTTGAAACTAGATTTATGTTCAGTTTTAGCAAGACATTTTCAAATTGGAGAATGTAAAAAGCCTGAGAAATTGCAGAATTAAATCTTACATGGCTGTATATGCTGGTTTGGCTTGTTCAGAATTCTAAATTTTCCTTTCTTTGACAGGTACCACAGATCGAAAGCATGAAATCAAAAAGGTACCTCCTGAAAGGCCAGAATGTCTTCCTAATCGAACAGAAGAAAAAGGTATGAAATGTGCTTTCCTGCCTGCTCTCTGCAGAGAGACAGAGGAAAAGGAACTGATGCACAACCACATTTCCTAGTCCCTGTTTTCATTAAGTGTATTGTTTGGATGCTTATTTCCCACAGATCTGATAGATCTGTGGTGATATGGATTTTGGAAAGGATCTCATTGTTGCTTTTGGGCTAAATTCAGGGTATTCAATTGTACCAATCCAGAGCTGTCAAGTACTTGCAGTCTCAGCTGAAGTCAAGGGGAGATACACTCTCAATAGATAAAATGCTGTCTAAAGCTCTGTGCTCAGTAAAACCCAGGTCCTTGATTGAGTAAGATCCCCCAGATTAGTGGGTACTTTTTTCTTAACATCCATATGCCTTGGTTCTCTAGTTAAAAGCAGGGTTGGTGGTTTTTCTGCATCACAGAGGGGTTTTGTGAGGATATAGTCATTAATGCTTATGAATCACCCCATTATCATAGTCACAAAAGTCATAGGCAAGCCTGTGGAGAAATGAAAAAATTCTGTCTTCAAAGCCAGGTTTGAACATTGCAAGAAATGGGGCACGGTACCACACAGAGCAGTGACAAGCAAATTAAACCTTTAATGGTTTCATTGTGTTCATTGTGCATTCTGAATAGTTTGGGGAAAATAGTTACATTGATTCTCTAATTGAAGATGGTGTCAAATTTCATACGTTTAAGTGGACTATTGGGTGGTACAGCCAAGTTTGTTTACGGGATTTCTTAACTTTTAGGTATTCAAACTTGCAGTCTTTTAAAAGGCACGTGTATGCACATGACTGAATGTATAATATGCAGAAATAATTTAGTGCCAGAACATTCAGACTTTGCAACAAGATCTGTTTCTGGATATATGCCTTAGCGATCTGACAGGTGTTTTAGCACTTTTGTCTACATATGTTTACTTTTGGTTATGTGCGCTACTTCTCATGGCTGTCTCAGACCCTTTGCTTTCCATTTTTGGGTTTACAAAGCCAACTGTCAAAACGGTGGAGGAAGTTTAAATATGTTACTGTCCCAGGGCATAAATACCTGTAACTTTTCTAAATGTTGAAAAGAGGCCGTAGGAGTCATGCCTCCATTTCTGGAGTACAGGGGAGTGGCAGGAATTGTTCCGTGTGGCGTGGCAGCAGGGGCGGCACAGGAACGTTTTTTACGCTGTGAGTTGGTACGCTGCCTATCCCGTCCCTCATACATAGTTTAGGTTCTTGGACACTGACACAGTATGAATTGTCATAGGAGTAAGTGCGTAAAACTTACACAATACGCTGGAAAAGCTTCAGTAGTACAGAGGACCCAACGATTGTATCAACTGAAAGTGTACTGAAAAAGGGTGTATGCCTGCGAGCAACAGTCACTTACTGGACTATTCCAAATCTAATGTGGCTTGTGTTTCTGGTGATTTATTCCATGATCCTTTCAGATGGAAACTAGAACCCATTAAGCAGTACCCTGTAACATTCCCAATACCTCTTACGTGTATACGGAGGTGTAATATTCACAACACATCATAGACAGTGTTGTCAAGGGAAGTGGGGTGTTGACATAGTAGGATACAGAGAGCGAAACTTTGGTCCCTTTGAGAGTTTTGTCCTTTCTTTAAGAAGAATCAGGTTTCTTATAGTGTGGCAAATGTGTTTACATGTTTGGTTTGTATTATGAATTTAAACCATATTATTTACAAGAGTTATTCATGTGTATTGTACTTTACATACTCACAGGCATTGCGTGTTTGGCATTGGATGTTAGTATTGTGGCACTTCCTAACTATGCATAATCAGTTCTGCAAATGATCCAGTTTTTCACTGTCAAGCTGAAAAATTCAGCTATTAAGTCTGTGCTTAAAAACCTAAATAAAAGGTTTGATTTTTCCGAGAGGCTTACATCCTGCCAAACATCGCTAAGTTTTAATGCTTTTCTTTTCATTTTACTGTAGTTCACTTGAAACACACTTTTTTCCCCCAGAAATGGTATTTCTCTGTTTGTTCAAGAGATGTTAAGAATATCCAGCGTAATTAACTTTGTGACTTTCTAACTTAATATTGTTTCATATTAGAATTTGTATAAGTTGTGCTCATGGGAAATTGTTCCATACGGTATGTAATTTTTTGCCATTCCTTTTTTTTACACTCAGAAGTCAGCAAGTTACTAAAATAAAAAATAGCATTCCCATTCAGACACTGCACACACATTTCGGCCATGAGGAATTACAGGCAGAACAGTCAGGCAGAGCAAACAACTGATTTGTGGTAAACATGTTATTTCAAATAAAGAATGATTTAGGACACAAGTAGAAAGGAGATAAGCTTTTTCTCTGTATACAGTGTATCTACAGTTGAAGATTTCTTATTTAATTGTAGACTTGTGAGTGCAAATTAATTCCACTTAATAATATCCGTGTTCTTTTTTTCTGGAAATAATTGATTTAAAGAAAGATCAGAAAGAGAGCAAAAACAGTTAGACTTGCAGAAGCCTTCAGTTCCTGCTATACCTCCGAAGAAACCTCGGCCACCCAAAGCAAACTCTGTGAATAGACCTGGTACCTTGCCCCCAAGACGACCAGAACGACCAGTTGTGCCTGTGACTCATACAAGGTATTGTTTTTCCTCCGTCCAGTGCTTTTGGGATTAGTGGGAAAACCACACATTTAAAGTATGTAGATTTTACAGTTAATGTCAGAATTTATTCCACGGTAAACTCCATTTAAGGAACAAAAAAAAAAAAAAAAAAAAAAGAAGAGCCTTCTAGTCAGCTGGCTGGATCATAACTATCTTCTCAAGAATAACTGTCTTGGAGAGTTCATTACCAGTTCATTTCTACTGATGAACACACTGTTACTGCAACATCATAGTTCCCACATGTGGGAAATACCTGCATCAGTATGTTGCGCTGATGTTGACTTTCTTAGTTTACCTCAAATTATTCCAGCTTAGCCGGGGCACCAAGTCAGTGCAAAAGCTTGGATTGTACTGAGGAACAGCAATAGACAATGCACATTTCAAATACTGTCAGCTTGGTTTCAGTCTGTTCTCTTTGATCATTTTAGATCAATTTTTAGCAAAATACATGCGTCTTCATAGAACGTTCTTTAAGCTGGTGCCACTGCAGAATACTGCTGTCAAGTATTTATGCTCTAATGTTGGTTGTTATTCTATAGTTATATGATGCTCTTTATCAGAGATGGTTACAGCCTTTGAGGAGCACTGAGAAGTTGGACTTGCTAGCAAAATACATGCGTCTTCATAGAACGTTCTTTAAGCTGGTGCCACTGCAGAATACTGCTGTCAAGTATTTATGCTCTAATGTTGGTTGTTATTCTATAGTTATATGACGCTCTTTATCAGAGATGGTTGAGATGGAGGAGCACTGAGAAGCTGGACTTGCCAACACAACTCCATGTAATCTCTGCTAGACCTTGGAAAAGCAGAGCTTGCAGAAATTAAAGGCCTTACCTGTAGTCCTAATCAAGTGTAGATGGCTACATTAGCCATCAGCATCTGGGTTGTGCACTGTGGACTTTCTTTATGCATAGTGGATAGAAATAGGTGAAAACCAGAAAAAACAGTTGTCTAAAATGGACAAGCTGCACGTCTTGCAGAAATACTAGATTATAGGCATAGAAATAATTTTACTATTGAACTGTTAGACAAATGAGCTGCCATTGAACTACTGGAGTTCAAATATACTAATGGTGAATTAAATACCAGAATGGAATATCGGGTAGAGTGGAATAAAATAGAAATCCTAGGCATTGATTCCCCTCATCCCTCCACATATGGTTCATTAAACAAACGCTCTCAGTGTGAAATCTGAGACACACAAAATAAAAAAAACGGTGCCTGCCTTGTGCTGCCAGTTTCACCTTACTGAAGTTCTTTGGCTGTGCATCTCTGAGAACTTACCCTTCTATCCAGGTGATACTGCCACAGCTTCTTTTGGACTCCTTAGCTTTCAACATGCTTGCCCAGTTGTTCCAAAATATAGTCCACACCTGCTGGTCACTTGGGCATGCTTGGAGAAGCAAGTATTTGCTACGACCTTTAGATTTAGCTAAGTGATGTCTTCTTGGCAAGACCAACACATACCCTAGTGTTCAGTTCACTGGCTAGGCATGCAACGGGGTAGCTATTCTTTTGTTCTATCCTTTGCCTGGAATATTTTAAACATATTATAAATATTTTAAACATTTAGAGTTGTGGTGGGCTCTTTTGTTGCTCTTCTGTTTTCCTTTTTTTCTAAGTACAAAATTGTATAAATAAACCGTGCATTTTTAAAGATATTTCAGTTTTCATGTTAACAAAGTGAAAAAGCAGATATAAACAGTAACCCTGTTATGTTCTTAATTGTCCAAACTCTGCTATGTCTAGTACAGAAGAAAATGCTTTGTTCTTTTTATCTAATACCATTATATTTGAAAGAATTTTACTTGTAACAGTAGTTAGATTAAAACTCAGAAGGAAAGGTGATTTTTAAGGTGATGGTGATGCATGTTGATGATCACAGTGCTAGCAGTGCTAGCAGTTTCCCTATGAATTACTTTATCAGCTAATTCAAATTAATGTATTTGTCTCATATAGCTGTTCTGCCTGGTAAGCTCTAACTTGTAAGGGTGTCTTACAGGAAGAGGGCAGAAAGTTCACATAATGAAATAATCCATGGAATAGACTTTGAATTACTTGAATAATTAAGAAATGTGAAACTTCAAATGAAAGCAGTCACTTCAATAAAGGCATTTTGTTTCTAAATCAGATCAGTTTAGTAAGATAGTAAATATTTTTAAGACCTGCTGGTATCCATTTCCAGAATCTGAAAAACCTAAGGCAATTAGAATAAAAATTGAACCAGCAGCATTTTCACTGACCTGTCGTGGTTTAACCCCGGTGGGCAGCTCGGCCCCACCCAGCCGCTCGCTCACTCCCCCCCAGTGGGATGGGGGTGAGAATCGGAAGGGCAAAAGGGAGAAAACTCGTGAGTTGAGATAAAGACAGTTTAATAGGGAAAGCAAAAGCTGCGCACACCAGCAAAGCAAAACAAGGAATTCATTCACTGCTTCCCATGGGCAGGCAGGTGTTCAAGCC